GATATAGTACAATTAAATGATAACCTTACATTTAAAACAATACCTATACAAATTATAGATATAAAGATTAAGCAACTAGGAAAAACAAATTTCATTAATAAAAATAGTTTAGAATAAAATGACTGGAGACAAAATTTTGAATATAAGAATGAGAAATATAATATCTTAAAATTAATATAAAACTTTTAGATATTTTAAATAATTCATATAAATAAATAAATATATATATATATATATATATGAAATTAATAATAATAATAATAATTATTATATACTATTATAATTAAAATATAATAATATAATATAAGTTAATAATTATTATATATTATTAAAAAATAATAATGCTTATCTCTTCACACATAAGAGATAAGTTTTAACATTAAAATAATATTTTAATTAAAAAATAAAAATAGTGATTAATATTAAAAAAAAGTAAAAATCTTCTTATATAAAGAATTAGGAACAGTAGAAAAAAAAAAAAGAGAAAAAAAAAGAGAGATTGGAATAAAAGGAGAGATGAAAAGAGAAACAAACTAAAAATAAACTTTGTATACTAATATTGAGGTAAGAGAAAAAATATATATCAATAATTTTTTTACTGATATGAAAAGTAAAATATCTTTAATCTCATTTTATTTACTTTTTTTATTTTAATCATCTCTATTTATATATTGATCTTTCCTACTTCATATTTATCTTTGATCCTAATTCATAGCCTCCAATCTTCCAATGATCCTACTTCATATTTATCTTTAATTCCTGTAATTCCTGCGCTGATCTATTTATTAAATTATATTTATATTATTTAATTAATTTTTTATATAATATTTACTTATAAAGATTTAATTATATTATAAATAAAAGTTAAACTTTAAAAATTGAAATAAATAATTATCATTAGAAACACTGTTAAAATTAAGTTAATTTATTTTAATTAATTACTACAAATTTAACTCATTGATATGTTGAAAATAGTTATATTATTTTAAATGATAATAATTCTCATCTTTTATATATAATATCTCAAAACTTTTCTCTATGAATATAACTATCTTCTTTACTTGAAATTTAAACGTAATCAACAACTCAATTACTTTTAAAAACATAAAATTATCAATATTCACTATTTACCTCTAATATAAAAACTTTAATTATGTTAAATAGACCAATAATAATTAATTTTAAAGAAACAAAATTATTAATATTATCATTTACATATAATATAAAAACTTCAATTATACTATATAGACCAATAATAATTATCTTTTATATATCCCTACCATTTACCAAAACCCTTAACCAATTTATTTCTACCCATCATAGATATTTATATAATTATAACAAAAATAAAAAAATAAAAAAATTTCTTTATTCTTTTATATATCCTGTAGAAAAAAATAATATACTTTAATATATATATATATATATAATATTTTTATTTTTCCTATTATTCTTGTTATAATAATAATTAAAAAATAATAATAATAATAAAATGCATCACATCAAGTCAATAGAATGCCATTGATTTTTCCAGTGGGAAATTAATTACTGAGATTTAAAGTGGAAACATTTCAAAAGTTACAGATATGACAAGACTTCTAATATGTTCCTTTTCAAAATCGTGTTATATATATAGCAACAATTTAGTTGTCGTTCAAATCACAGGATTTTGTTTTTTTTTTTCATTACTGACTTCTCAACATTATTAAAGAAAGAAAGAATGTACTACATAATTTAATAAAAATTCTATTGATATAATATATTTATTTATAAATAGATGAATAAATTATTTTACAAATGATATATGTAACAGAAGAGCCAAACTTGCAATCCACATGCAATAATGCAGCACAAGCATTAAACTCCTGTTTCTGTTATCCGGAGAAGAACTATAAGTGCAAATGGGATATCCAATCATGTTTGTTATACCCCTTTGATCACTTCTCCAACTTCATTCATGAAATCCCACAATGCCTCCCTATTGGCTAAAAAATAAATACCACCCTAACATAAACATGCCAAACCTACAAATTTAAAATTTAATGGTGCAAAGATGGATCAGATTTATTGGCTTGGTTTCTCTGAAGAGAAAAATCGCACAGTATATTCAGCGTCGATCATCTGGGGAAATAATCATCATTTCCATCTTGGAATGCAACCCATTATAACCACAAATTTTATAAATTATCAATCATTGTTCAAACTTTATAAATCAATCAAAATGCAGGATCATTAAAATACCAAGACACACGACTCATACATGAAAAAAAATGCCACTGCTTCTGAAACAAACATCAACTCTAAGATGTGAATATAAAATCATGCAAATATGGATCAGATTAATTGGCTTGGTTTCTCTAATGAGAAAAATCGCACAGTATGTTCAGCGTCGATCATCTGGGGAAATAATCATCACTTCCACTTTGGAATGCAAACCATGATAACCACAAATTTCAGAACTTGTGGAGTTTTCAATCATTGTTCAAATCAATGAATATGCAGGATCACTAAAATACAAAGTCACACTACCCATACATTTAAAAAACGCCTCTGCTTCTGAAACAACTATTAAATATAAGATGTGCATGTAAAAGAATGCAAATATGGATCAGATTAATTGGCTTGGTTTCTCTAACGAGAAAAAATCGCACAGTATGTTCAGCGTCGATCATCTGGGGAAATAATCATCACTTCCATCAAACAAAGCAATCAATTCATATACACTACTATAAAAACAAACACCAGATTCCAACCGACAATTATCAAAACAAAGTTCACATTTTCCTTTAATCTAACTAAAAATAAAAAACTATAAAACTCTCCTTGCATAAAAAGTTGGGTCGGTAGGAAGATCAGAGTTCTGGCTTGGAAATCCAATGCTCAATAAATGAGACCGAATTATGAGAATAGCACAGTTAGAATCAACTTCGATCATATGGGGAAAGGCTCGTCACATCTTTTCCAACTCTACCACTATTTTAATCAAAATCAAATTTTAAAAAACACGAAGAAAGCATGCATAATACCCAAAAATAACAGAATGGAAAGATTACAATTGAGAAGCTTTTGAAAAAAGGAGTGAATTTTCCTGCTCTGCAAAGGAAACTGAGATAAAAAAGAAGAAAACAGTACAAAAGAGATTGCAGAAAGGAATTGCTATAGCGTCACCTCATACACGGTACCCACGAAGATCAGAGCACAGGTAATCAGTAATTGACGCGTAAAATGACAGAAACAAGGCATACCCATAAGGCAGAAAGGAAGTATTAATCACAAGACAGTTTGAAAGATTGATACTTACAGAGATAGAAGTGGCACATGAGCATGAATGGGATGCAAGGTGCTTATAAAGGGGTGAAACAAGAATGCGCCGTTGAAACTCAAAATTAGGGTTTCTTAAAGTTTGAAATAGGGTAACGGAGATGATCTTTGGGCCTTTTCTGTCCATTTCCGGCCCAGCCCACATATCACAGTGGTCCAAATAAAAATGGGATTTTCTTCCTACAACCCCATGCATTTCTCCATGCACTCCAAAAGTATATTTGATGAAAAATAAAACTTTTGAAATGTTTCGAAAAATATTATCCTAATAAAAGTTTTTGAATTACATATTATGGATAATAAATAAAATATCGAGTAATAATATCAAACACGTTATGAATTATGCCTTTGGAAGTAAAAGATATAACATTCTGAAAAAAGTTCCAATGTAGATATTTTGGAATGTATATTTTAAAAGTATATAAAAAAAAAATCAATGAGGATGTTATATTTTTAAACACAAATTAATTTTGCATCAAATTGAGCCATTAATTGTTTTAGATCCATTGTATGAAAATAAGTGAGGACTAAAAAATGAATAAGATCGAGTACATACAATTATTGATGATGATGAATAAAGAGAATTTATATTTGGAAGAAAAGAAATATATGGTTAATAAGAAGAAGTGTTCTGAGGGGCCAAGCACACTCATGTTAGACATTGGATTCAGATTATAATGATAAAATAAGATAATATGTTTAATCATTTTTATCTTTTTTTTTTAGAAGATAGCATTATTTTATGTTATTGTTTAATTTTATTATAAAAAATGTAAAAGTCATATATATATTTCTTTAAATTATACTTTTATCTTTTTTATAATTATCAATCTATAATTTCTCTAAACATTTTTCTTTTATTTCACTTGTGCAGAAACTTAGTTACAACATGAAAATAATAAAACTTCAGGAAATTGAAGTGATGCATGATCACAATTTTTATTCAAAACTTGTATTTTCCATGTATTGTTACTCTAATTTTGGTTTAGAGTGTGGATAATTTTTCAATTTTTTTCTGATTTCAGTTATAATTATTTTACCCTGCTGTTAGGTTTAATTTATGGATTGTAACTATGTTTAGATATGCTACAGTGTTTACTGTCCAAGCCTTTTTCTTATTTATTATTTTTTAACCAAAATATATTATTTTATGAAACTATCTTTATATTTTTGATGAAGTGAAAACACATCATGATTACTTGAATAATTACTTAGTTATATTTTTATGAAACAATTACTTATTTGTATTTGATAAAGAATAAATTAGTCTTACTAAAAATGAAAATAATTAGACTTATAAAAAACAACATAATCTTATAAAAATAACTAAAAAAAGAAATTCATTTTATATAATGGTACAAATAATTTATTATAAATATAATGAGTTATACATATAATTAGTTAATAAAATAATTTAAGTTAAAATATATTTATCTTAATTTGAAATTAATATATAGTCACAAAAGAAGTTTGTGGAACTTGTGAATTGACAGTTTCTAACACAAGATGAAATGTTTATTCAAAATAAGAGAGAAAATAAAACAAAGTTAGAATCAATAGGTAACTGTGTTAAATTCTCAACTGTATTTCAAACTATAAATCCTAAATTTAAAAAAATGGGATTTCAAGTTGACGGTTTATTTTGTTTATACACTACCGATTTCTGAATTGAAAGATAATCATCCACATGCTACTATGGTAGGATCCATTGCCACAGAGGTGTCCCTGTCGCACATTTCGGGACCAATATTTATAGGCACTTCTCCCTGCACCATGAAATAACACGAGACTTTGATGATACCAAAAAATATGTTGCAGATTCTTCAACTATAAGCAACAGTGAGAACATACCTTTGCAATGTTCCTAAAATATGTCATCGTGTAATTCCCCGTGGGAAATAAAACCTCAACAAGATCTGCTAGTGCCAGTTGAGGTTGTGACACTGCTCCATTATACCAGTCTTCACAAGCATATGATAAATGCAAAAGCATATATTGAAGGGTAAGTTTTCAAATAATTTCTATCAGTTATGACATGATAAGAATACCATACAATCTATAAGACTTCTTACTCACACTTGAACACCAACAATATGCATTTGGATCCATGTACTTACCTAGGGCTACAGAGTTTTGCACCCTTTTGTCATATCTCCATACACTTGTGTTTGATATAAAGGAAAAACAAGAACGGTCTTCAACATTTAGATTTTGGATAAATGTTGACAAGGTGTAGTTGGTTGGATCAGAGGTTAGTGTTTCATCAATAACTACTTCCACGGTCTGCATGATAGATAATGTTTAATCAACAAAAACTAGTAAATAAAAAGAAATTTAAAGCAATGAAAAACGCCCCCTCTATTTTTTTAGGTTATATTCTAGGATTTACTTTCAATTCTAACAAATTAGAATGCAGGTCTATACTAACAGTCTCATGCACCATCTCATGTTAATGGACTATTCCATTAGCATAGAATTATTTCGAGCATGTTTGGACAAATTTCACCATAAGCACTTTTGGGGGAAAAAATAAGAAGAAAAGATTAAATGAATTTCTCGCTAAGTTAAATTAGCTTGTAAACAAATTAAAAGTAAAAGGTCAGCGAAAGTCATATGATAAAATTTTTATGAAAAGTGCTCATGTATTCTATGTAGTAAAAATATGATAAAATATCCATAATAATATTTCAATTATAATTACCTAAATCAAAAATAAATTTAATAATTTTTTTTTCTTATTCTAAAGAATAATTAAAAGATCTTAATACCTAATTTAAATAAAAGATAATAAAGTAATATTTTTAACACAAATTGACCCTCCTGCATATAAATGTCATACTGAATTACTGATAACTAGTGCAGAGGCAATCTCATCTTAATGCTTGACATTATTTTTCCTGTTAGTGAATGACATTTTTTAGTGATGTAGTCTGTTTCAGAAGTTTTACAAGTACTTGATTTACATAGGGATGCACATTAAAGATAATATTAGTCACTCAACGTTCCTTCCTATATTGCATTTAATTGTCTCATTTAATGCAATATGATTCAACTTACACATAGAATTGCATGAAATTCCTCCAAGTCATCAGGATCAGAGACATTGTAAGTTTTCTTGTTGGCATCCAAAATCTCTCCGCCTGCATCTTGCACGTACTGTTTGCAAAGTTTTTGTAACAAAAATTTACAAAGTGATGGCAAGAAAGATAAAAAGTATAAGCGCCAGATTAACTAAAATACAATAAGTGATAGGAAAGGATGAAGTGTGAGCAGCATAACGGTGCATATTTACAACTCAAAGACATCACTCATGCCATGTTTAATTTCTCTAACAGCATGTGTTTCATACCTTCAATTGATACTTTTCCTGAGTAAAAGACCAAACACCCTGCAAAGATAACACTTCAGATGTTGTTAACAAATTTTTATTTATCAACAAAAGGCTACGAGTCATGTTTCAGAAGTTGGTTCCAGATGATTTAAAGAGAGAAGAGCAATAACTTTGAAAGGGCTAACAGAGGTTAGAAGGTCTATTGCTATTGATTAGATTCTAAAACAACACTAGAGCATTTAAATCAAGCTGACAATATAATGGAGTGTAGTTGGGAAGTGGGAAAGAGTTAGCGATGGAATGTGTGCTTTTGAAGATATATACATTTTTATACTTCATCCAAGCTACAGTTGGCTTGAATGTTGTCCTAGTTGGGGCAATTTTAGCCAAGCACAAATAGTTCTCCTTCACCTATAAGATAGCAAATCACTTTGTCAGACTAACATGTATCATAAAATATAATCAGTTATTAACACACAGAATTATGAAAAAAGATGGCAGAGTAATCTCCAAATACAACTTTTAGCCTGCACACATAAAAGTTTAAAGTAAACTTATGGCACTAGAAGTAGAGGCTTGCTCCAACGCAAACTTAGCAATTATTGTTAAAACATTTAGAAGAAAGGAAACACATGGTTTGGTGGTAACATTTAAATTTCTGCACTGGGCATGTTATGTATTACTGAATTCTAATGATTAATCTAATGGCAGTTTTCAACTCTGTTTTATCCCAGAGAAACTGGTCCCGCATTTTCATGTTCAGAAATCAATGATGAGATGTTTAGAAGACCAAAGAAGTTGAATATTTACATGTTTGATATATGGAGCAATAGGATTGCTGATATAATCTTACTAATACAAACTTTACTCTTGGTTAAAGCATTTAGATGTTTCTACAAAATCATGAGAGAGATTCATTAAATGTGACCACTTTCCAATATATCTCAGTTAATAGTAGCCTGTGTTTAAAAAAAATGTGTTCTTAATATTTCTCTATGGAGCAGACTGTATGCACAAAAAGTAAAATTAGTTAAAAGAATGACCTTAAAAAATTAAAATTCATAATTTAGTTAAAATCAAGTATGTTTATCTGGTGTTTTAAGCTAAAATACTAAACATGCGGCCATTTTTCAACTGTATGATCTGAACTAATTCTTCTGCCCTTGCACAAATAAATGCATTTTATGTGCTTTGGTCATATGGATTTATTTACAATGACGGCAAGAGCCTAGAAGCTTACATGCTACATGTTAACAAATGGAAATAGAAGAATATACGTAGTTTCACCCTAATCTACAATTGGCGTAGTAATATAGATTGAAACAATTGAAGTTAGTTGAATTCTGTTCATTAATTGGTAGTATCTGATCGACAGGTTAGGCTTAGCAAACCCCAAGTAGAAATTTCTAATAAAAAAATTCAGTCCAGATTGACTGAACAACAAGAACCTAAAAGGTTATCGAAACATAATGATGGTAGAAGTTATGCCTTGGACAAAGTAGTGTGCTTACTGAGGCATAGACTTGATTAGCTCTAGCTTCAACATTTGCAAAAGCTCCCATGAATTTGATCCATTCTGCTCTCTATCAAAATGAGTACAGTCAATCATTAAGCATTCCAACCACTGAAATGGTTGAGTATCTCTATTTTTAATACAAGTGTGTACTAATTAATATACATCTTAAATATTTTATGAATATTCTGATAACAAAGAATTTCTCAAAAGCTGTAAAACTGTATATTATTGATTTTTTGTCATATCTCAAACAGAATTACAATAGTGTAGTCTCAGGATCTTCCTAAAATCAACTAATAATTGCTCAAGATATCACTAATATCAAAATGTTCCTAAAAACTCCTAATTATCTTCTTATATTTTTATTCCAATAAACTCTTAAAATAATTATCTTATTATTTAATTTTATCCCAACATATTCTAAGTAGGTTTTTAACCCGTAATCAGATTAAATTAGCTGGTAAAACTAGATTAAAATACACTACTGTTATGCAAATCCTGCATGGTAATACTAGTATAGTATGTACATATGACACTGCAAGAAAAATTACAGATGGATTTAAAAAAAGCCCCCAAAGTGCTACTCGGTAAAAGATACTACTTAGTTAAGTAGTAGTAACCAAACCATCATCATCCCTGTAACAGTAGTAGTTCTGTTATGGTAGTTTAGATCCTATCAATTCAGTCAATGATATGTAGTTTCTTTCATTACAGATAAGCTATTCATATTAATGTTGTTCATACTCACATCTGAGCTATTATGTTAATTATCTTATAATAGATTATTATCTTATAAATAATTAGTTATTTTGTTACAAGCCCAAAAATATGGCCTAGTATTTCTTACATATGTTTATCAGTTAACTAATCACCAAGGATGGAGATTAACATACTAGCTCCTATTTCCAACATATTATTCAGTTATGGCCAATATGATAAAAGATATCATATAACTGACTAAAACATAAGGCTGAAGCCTATAGAACAGTATGCCTGCAATAGGAGACAAACTTTGACTCACTCTTAATATCCACTTATTCTTCAATGTACAATCTTTACACTTAGCGTAATTCTTCTATTTCCATAGTCACATTTAATATAATGAAATTCATGAAATTTATAAATTTAATAACGTGTACTAGAAACTGAAGATGAATACTGAACAATATAATGATTTTGAAAAGAAGTAAAGTTCTCCACTCAATGTACCATTGTGCGTTTGGAGAAACGTTTGCCTTGATTTTGGATAATCCTTATCAATTTTTATAAGCTTAAATTAAAAGAGGAGCATATGAGGATAACACCCAATATCACCTCGAGGTTGAGTAAGATATGCTCTTTAGCTTAGCCTCACATCTTGAACATTTTTATAGCTCATACGCTAAGAGATTGAATCTTTTAACTTCACAAGTAACTTGGTCCAAAGAAGTTCAAAGTAAAAACAAATATTATTCATTTTTTTAATGTCAATGTCATTCTTTTATGGAGGAAGTCCTCTTCTCTATTTTGAGATCTATCATGTTCGGGATCACATACGTCTCTTACTTGATACTGAATTCCATAGCAACTTAGCAAGTACCACCGAAGCATATCCTCATATTAAGGATCACGTTTAGAAAAAAAAAAAAAAAAAAATTTCAGTTTTCCTCTGCTTTATGGAGGAAAGATTTCTCTAATAATACCAAGGAATTAAGATAAAGAGTTAAGACTCAACTTCAGAAACTTTGACATTTCTCAATCAAGGCTTAGATGGAAAATGTTTACTGGTTCTAGAACTGTACTATAGACATCTGAAGCATAAACAAATGTTGGTTTCAGAAGCATCAGGTAATCTATGTCCATGGCACTATCTTAAACATATCTTCTGGTCCTCTTGGCTTTAAAAAGTGTATACAGAGAGCAACATTAGTTGCTTACCTGCAAAGGGGTATCTTCCATAAAGGGATCAAAAGTTGCAAAATTGCATGCTGACTGCTGATCATCGCCACCACTAAGGAAGTACGAAGAAAACTCTGCAAGCTTTTGGTAATCACTATTGTTGAACATTTCTATCTGTCCTCCTTGATATAATTTCAACACACACGGAGAAGCAACATAGTCTGAGGTTATGCCTTTCAAGCTCTCCACTAAACCTAAAAGCTGATCAAAACAAGAATATAAAAAATTAAGAAGAAGGAAATCCCTTCTATCCTGACCTTGGCAACCCCATCAGAACCTTAAAATGTACACTTGTGCTAGTAAGAGATTCTCACCTCTAAGAAGGAAACTTGAGTTCCAATCCCCGGAGGCATAAGAAAAAGTTAGTCACAACATAGGTGAAAGATAGAACAATTACATTAAAAATATGTTGGTCAATCATTAGACATCATTAAGTTTGTGATGAGAAAAAAGAAATATTAAATTGAATAGCCAAATCATTTGCATTAACACTGGAAAATTGAACTGATTTTTAAATTGATTTGCTCTATGATGTTATATGTTACAGAATCTTGATTCTTAAGAAAAAGAGAATGAACAAGGTGAGTGAGAGTAAGTAGCAAGATAGGAATATGCATGGCATACCCGGAAAATAAGTAGTATCAACAGAATAGTTTGACAATGGTATGACAAATGACTTTATTCTTGATGTGCAATATTTAGTCCTTGAAGCAATCCTTGAATTATTCTGCCAGAATTGACAGAAGAAAATTGCGTAGGCAAGAAACACAAATTAGCAGGAAAAAATCAGCAAACAAGAAAATAATTAGAAGAGCAGTAATTTCTATGTTTGATTTCTTCTGGCATACATTTCTAACAGAAGAAACAACAGAGTCCATTGAAGTAAATAAAACGTGGTCTGAGGTTATTATCATTAGCTGTAAAACTAATGTAAGAGCTATTTTAAAATTCCCCTTAGACTAGAAACGATTGTGACACTTAGCTAATACAGGTAGTTGTTGTCTCTAATAAATTATTTTAAAATTCCAAACAGGGATGCTAGAGTGCATCATCATACACATATATTCAGCATTTTGTAGAAGATTTCAATTATCAATCTGTTAATACTTTTGACTTTTGCCTTAAAAAATATTATCATCTTTGTCTTCAATAGGAGAAAGTAATTTATTCATCATTTTGATATCAGATAACATATATACAACCTTTTCCTGTGAGTTCGACTTCCCGTGAAGCCACTAAAAACCTGTTCGGTGGAAAACTCTCTTTAACAAGATGTCAAGATCCTGGGGCGCCATTGGCACTCTACTTAGTAGTATTGGGTGGCTTCCCATTCTTCCAATTCTTACTCAATTGCCAAAAACAGAAAAATAAAATATAACATGAAAATGTCTTGCACAATAATTTATTTAGACTAAAACAAAACCCTATCATTTTTCATTTTTATTATTTGCTTATATAAACAGAAAAACCAAAGAAAATCGTAGGGAAGTACCTGGAGAAGAAGGTAGCTCTGGCCATCAGCAGCATTCTTAATGACTTTGAAGGTCTGGCCATAGTAAATATGAAAGTTTCCAGCATCTTCCACCTTTGAAAAGTTACCAACTTTTACTGCTGGGGTGGCCCCATGGACGTATCCACAGTTGAAGAACCAAACCAATGCTATGAAGAAGGCTCGTCGCCTAGAACAAGAAGGAGCCGAATCCATGAGCTGAACAAGCCCACTTCTTGCTATATAAAAATAATGTGATCTTTGAAGCTAATTATACCCAAAGCTCATTATCTTAATTTTGAGCGACTTTTAGAAGGAAAAAAGGTGTTAAACTTTTTGGGCAATAATTTGCAGCTAAACTGCACAAATTTCTAGTAGGAGAGAGAGGGAGCGGTGCACTTTGCAGCTTTTTCAAGATAAATGGACCGGAATAGTGTTGAAATTCAAGCTGGTGCACACTCTCTTTAATATTTAACACAAGAGGAAGAAACAGTAAGTGACCCGTGAACCCATCTTTGGGTTATTTTTGTCATCTTTTCCCTCGTCACATTTTGGTGTTGGTTCATAACTAGTTACATCTTTTTCTTTTGTCACTTTCTTTGATACCCGATGAACGGGAATGATACACCCGAAATCAATCATCCATGTGCTTTGCACTCACCTTAGTTCAACCACTACCCATCTGGTTCAAATTCATTTATTCACTGTAATGATCTGGTAATAGTTAGCTTCGCGGATCATGTGGAAATTGTTTATTTGGTGTTTGGTGACAGAATCCAACAGAAAAAAGATGAATATGTGCACTTAGCCTGATACAATAGTGTTACAACAAAACTGACGAATATGTGCACTTGCCTGTATAGCCTGATACAATAGTGTTACAACAAAACTGACTTCAACTAATGATAAATATAACAAAGGATTTTGTTTCTTAAATAGAGATGTGGGATTCTAGGAGAGATAAAAGAATAATAATATTATTGATTACAAACAGCAGAAATTGTAATTGATTTAAAAATTTATTGAATATGTATTTAGTTTCGTTATGACGGCATAAATATTTGATGCAGTTTTATTTCATAATTAAATATATGTTTTATATTTTTTTAAAACTTGCATTTCATTAGTTTAATTATGGAGAGACAGATGGTCTGAATAATAAATAAAAAGTTATACTCTACGAACAGAAAATCATCTGACATCTAACCTGAAGAGATAAAAAAAGTTATGAGAGTTGATTTTATATAATAATAATAAATAAAAAATTATAAAAATGTTAATAAAGTAAGTATATAAAAATAATTATTTTATCAATAACAATGCAACTTATTAAGTAATATTGTTTAATTAGTTTTATAAGTTTAAATTTTATGGTGGTTTATAGTTGGATATAGATATAAAGATCAAACATTATTTTATATAATTAAAGTTTATAATTAATAATTATTTTAATATACATGATGTTATAATTAAAATTCCTTATAAATAATATATTTGATAATTTAGTATGTGAAATGTATATTTGTTCTATATAAATCATTTTATAATACTTTATCTTCTAAATAGTTCATTTTAAATTAAATTTCAATAATATATTTAAGAAATGATTAATAATTAGGATTAACTTTATATTAGGGTTTAAACTATATTTTGAATTTATAATGAGTAATTTAAATTGTTATATATATATATATGTATATATATATATATATATATATATATATATATATATATAAGATGTTTTAACAACTGTTAATTTTAAAAAGGCTATTAAATTAAACTTCAAGAATAGATGTAAAGGTACGTTAAAATACATAAAACATCATGTGATGTTGAATCCTTTTGAGTTCTCTTTGATTATTCAAAGAGTTGAATGAGTTTTTTTTTCCTACTGAACACTTTTTTCAGCACTAGAGAGGAAATTCCAATTTGTTATGGTTTATTATTTATTCAAACTCAATGAACTTTCTACCATCTATTGTTCGGGATCGAGTTATATGGATTTAAAGAAATGGGTAAAAAAATATTAAAAAAATTGAATAGATTATGGATAAAGTTTACTTGATTACGGTGGAGTTAATTCGAATAACAGATTAAAATAATACTTTCTTTATATTTCAATAAATTTCATAAAAAAACAGAGCATTATTTTTTTTTCATCAACTATTTTTTCCTTTTAGAAAAAGTATGATAATTCTTATACTGAAAAGCTAGTGCAAATGTGTGTAACATTTTCAAAGTTAACATCCAATTGAATATAACTATTTCTTAGTAAAGGAATATGATCAAGTAAAATTAATAGAAATGTTTGGATACATGAATCCTGTGGGAGTTCAATATGAGAATTTGATGTGAGCCTTCTATAATTAAGTTAGAAACTAAACAAAATAATAATAATTAGGGTATGATTTCTAAGAGTCAACTATGATATGGTTAGCCCACATGGCACAAAGAGCCAATGATATAGTCAGCAAAATACTTATCTTCTTCAAGACCATGATAAATCCCTTCCCATACTTAATACCAACAAACCAAACTTTTTCTTGTTCATTCCTAATGATAGTCTCATCAGCTGGTTGTCTCATTGTCTTCATTGTGTAAACACCACCACATCGTTTAAGGTCTGATTTCCAATCTTCCACTAATTCCTTTAAAAACACACAATGCATCAACAAAAGTGCAAAGATGGATGCAAGGGCAGTAGCTATTGTGCTTGATGGCTTTATTAGCTTCCCTGTCACATAGGCCTTAAACTTTCTAAAGAAAGAGGGTCCTTGATTAACCATTATTGCATTCTCAGCCATTACTGGATTGAGTTGAACTTTGAGGGTTTGTGAAGGAGCTATTTGATGAAAGAATGTATCAGCTACTTGATGAGTGGACACAAACATTCCATGATTGGTTTTTGTTTCCTCCACAACCTCTAAGTTTGTAGGATTTGAATAATCAATGTTATCCTCATTTATGAAGTTCTCGTTGGGATCCTCGTCATTGATGAATCCCATTGGAAAATCATCAATGTCAGTATGGTTGATTTCTTTGTTGCAACTGTGTTTCTCGAATCCTACTACAAATAAAAAACCATTAATTTTGTTACTAAGAAAAGAGAAACATTACTTGATACAAATTTTCACGACCAAGGCCATTACAAAATGAGAAAATACCTCGAAGCTTGTTTTCTTCAGTATTAGTTTGGAAGTTTGAAATGTCTTCAATTGGAACAATATTTTGCTCTTGCATCAAGCTCTGCCAAATTAAGCAGAGAGAAGTTGATAAAAAGCATTTTTTTGTACAAACATAAATAAAGAAATAATTAAGAAATAAGAAAACAATTAGAAATTATTTTAGGTATGGTTTTTAATATAATTATGATAAAGTTTACACAGTTGACAATTTTTTTTTAATTTAATTATGAAAGCATTGATGGTGGTTTTCCAGAATTAATATATAATTCTAAATATGAAAGCATATGTGTTGAATTTTAGTTAAATTAAAAGTCAGCACTACACATACCTTTTCCACGTTTTTGCTGGACATTCCCACGCATCTTAAATTCTCTATCATCCTCTCTGTCTTGAATCCATCGTCAAAATCTCCAATCTCGATAGATCTTGTGTGTTGGTCTTCCCATGCTTTGTCACCAAATCCAATGGTGTTCATGTCGTTGACGTGATTGTCGTTGGTGCCAACCATAAAAGTAAAATCACTTTCATGAGGAGCATAATTTTCATTGGCATTCATGAATGGCTGTGATGAGTAGTTGGATTGATTTATTAATTCCTGGGAAGCATGAGCAACTGAAAGAATTTCCTGCAAGATATCTGTTTCATTTCTGATTCCACTCATGGAACTCGAGGCTTGTGCCATCTTCAGCTCGGAAATGCCAACTAGAGGGAAGTCCAAGTCCTGCCTCTGCAATGGAGGAATGGTAAACCTATGCTGCATCCTTGCACACTCTAGTGCTATATCCACCTTCAAAAACAAATCATGTACACACAAGACCATGTGTATGAGTGGTCTAAAAATATTTATACTGTAAACTAATTAGATATTCTTGATATGATTTTTACAGATTTTTTATGTTGTATAAGATTGGAGAAGAGTACGTGAGAAAAAAAAAATGTAGCATTAAGAGGAGCTTGGTGGTTACCCTTGATGGAGGATAGCTCATGGATCCGTAATTGGGAAATGAAGAAGTGGAGGGTGGAAGATTGAGCAAGTCTTCTGATAAGAAACGTGACCATGTTGTCTCATTATCCCTTGTTCTACCATTGATATTGAAAGTAGTCCCATTTATGTTTGGGGATGAACTTGTATCCAACGACATCAGATAATTTGAGCTCTCTAAAACTTCACCTCTTCCTTCAGAGTATAGCTCGTTAATGCTTGATGATTGATCACTTGCAATGATCTGATTGGCATGGCTGGTGGTCACATTAACATAGTGTTGATCTCCAACTTTTGGAGGAATCACCGCAGTCTTCTTGAACACACGACAAAGAGCATATGCATCCTAAAAAATCACATGTATGTCAAAAAAGTTACTTAAAGAAAAGAAAAACGCTGATTAATACGAAAGAGGGAAAGAATCTTGACAGGATTAATTGTCAGGATGCAAGAAAGGGAATAGAAGATGAACCTGCAAGCCTGAATTGGTTTCACACTGTGTCTCATCAAGACGGTACTCATGCATAACCCAACCTGTGCGACAACCATGCGGTGCCCTACCTCGATAGTAAACTAGGGTTTTCTTCATCCCTATGGCACAACTCTGAGAATTCACCTTACGGTCTTTCCCTGTGGCTTTCCAGTACCCAGACTTGGTTGCACGATTTGTTCTTGATCCATTTGGGTATTTCCTATCTCGAGGGCTGAAGAAATACCACTCCAAATCTTTTCCCGGTAACAATGACTTCCCTGCATATATATGCCAGTAACAATATTAATCCATATAAAACATTCAGACTTGCATTGGTTGCCATGATAAAGCAAATGATTTTTGAAAAAGTAATGAAAATTATTAGAATCTCGAAGTATATGCATTGATAGCATGGGGGACTAATGTGTGTATATCATGTGGAGAATGCAATTCTTTTTCTTGTGTTTGACTGTTTTTGACTTGGGAATCCCACTACTCTATCGTTATTTTGTCTTGATGTTCACAGTATGATTATAGGAAGTATCAGCCCTATACTTGAATTAAGGGCCTATATCCTCCCTAGTACATCATCCCTAGATATTTTTTGCTAAAGCAGAAAAATATACTTGACCAATAAAGCAAGTACGTGTTTCATGCATGATTGGTTAAAAAATCATGACCAAAATCGTGTCTAAAGAAGTGTGCCCTCACTTCTTTTAACATTCTTTTTCTTCGTCAATAATGATTTGTCCATAAAAAAAATATTAGACGTGTTCTTTAAACTTGGGTATGCTAAAGCATATGAGTCGGGATTTTCTTCAATCCATGCATGGGATATGAAAAATTGTTTTGTCATGTGTGTGTGGAAATGTTATTAAATGTTAAACTTACCTGGCAAGTCCCATGGTTCGCACTTATAAAGGTCAACTTCAGGGATAATCTCTAGTTCGATCTTACGACCATTTATCTTTCTTTTGAGGTAATAAGAAACAAGTTCTTCATCGGTGGGGTGGAACCGAAACCCAGGAGGCAGTGAAACAGGAGCCATATTCATATATAAATCTGAATCTAAATGAAATAAACTCTCGAGAAGCTCTTTATTGGAACAAATTGATAACAAAGAGTATAGAGATATCTACGAGTAGCTAACTAGCTATAGTTGCCTCGTATCCCTAAAAAAACTGGGGCACAAATCCTCAGTTCCAGTACAAGTATGATCACCAATTACACAAATCAAAACCCTGCCATAAACACAACAACAAAAGAAATAGTAGTTAGCAACTCAAACAAACACATATAATTAATTTCTCTACATGGTGCATGTATAAAATTAACAAAACATATATTGATAAGGGAGATAAATATGAGACCTTAATTGGGAGGAAGAAGATCCAAACTCAGGAGAAGTTGAGAGAGTTTGGAAAGCAAAGAGGAGGGAGAGTGGAATGTTGGGATTGCTTGGGGTTTTGATAAAGAGAAGATTGGAAAAACAAAAAGCAAATTAGAAACTTGTTCTGTCTTTCTTTCTTTTTTCCTCTTTGAAGTACTTTTCGTTTGTTTTTTGATCAAACGAATCATTCCTCTTATCTTTGCTTGAAGGTTGAGGTAATGATTATTACGTCAATTTCTCTAACCTTTTGTGTTCTCCAATGATCCTATGCTTCGTGCTTGTTCTTTCTTAGATTCTGGCCTTCCTCGCATGACAATACATATGAATAATGGATCCAATTCATACCTTTATTCGTTGGATTAAGAATCTACACATTAACGTGAGGAAACTATTGCCAACGAACTTTGGTGGCTGTTCCCAACTGAACTAACGACCCTTTCACACTTCCTTTTGTCTCAAATCATTTTTTTGAGCTTTATAAGTGCCCTTCCTTTTCCCCCTTCTCTTCAGCTTTTGTTTTGGTAGATTATAAATGTCATGTTTGAATCATCCAAACTACGTTCTAATGATGTGATGATTTGAATGTACTTTATACTATTTTGGATATAATAAGGAGGCTTTTCAGTAGTATATTTAATCTTGCAAACATGTTATATTTGCGAAAAAGATTGATACTACATTATTATCCCTTCAATTCTTCAATATCTCTGAAAAAAAAAATCATACTTAACACGATTAATAATTGTTGGTCAAGTTAATTTGTAATTTTTACGTAATATGGTTCATGTCAAATTCAATTTCTGAAAACTACTTCCCAATGTTGTTCCATTTCATAAATATTCTTTAAGACTTTGTTTGTTGCAAGAGAAAGTACAAGGATAAATCAAAGATGGGGTCCGACAATTTGGATGACGAGGAAAAACTTTCCACGTTCTTAAGAAGAAAAAAAATCATAAAAAGTTGTTTTTACTTCGTAACATAATGATTATGTATTATTTTTTACGTAGGTTTGAAAAATTATATGTTATGGTGATATTTTTCTTTTTTTTATAGTTTTATTTTTATAATAAATTACTCAGTTTTATTATTATTATTTTATTTTTCAATCAAATATTTATGTGTCTATTTTATTTTACTTTTTCCAACCAAAGAGTATCACTTTTCACCTATTTTTATGAATAAAATAAAAAAAATCCCTTAAACATATATTATATTAAAATATTACTTTCATTAAAAGAAAGAAAGGAATAAGAGTAACTCAGAGGTGTGAACAATAGCCTCCCCTTAAAACCAAAGAATTCATAGATTATTAACAAGAATTAATTACATTATACTAAGACTAATGAGCTAGACATTAAAACCCTATTTAAATAAATTAACCTATAAACACTTATTTTAAAAAAATTAAAAGTTGATTTTTAACTTATAGAAAAATAATTTTTATTTTTTTCTTTTATATAGATTTTTAAAAATGTTTATGACATATAAAAGTTTTTTTTTAATGTAAATTATATAGTCATGCGATTTATTAGATTTATGATTATGATTGAAGGAAAAAAAATGATTGATTTACTCTGAGTGATTATAAGTTACATTGTACATATTCAGAAATCTTATATTAAACCACCGGTTATTAAGCTAAGACTATTTATCTTCAATACGAAAAAAATATTAAAAAGTTTCATATAAACTAAAAATATGATAATACATAAATAATTATAAATCAATTTTATAAAATTAAATTAAATATGTCGTTATTTTTAAAAATACATACACAAATTAACGCTACCAAATAATAATAAAAAAATAATCCTCACAATTAATGGTAGATATTCTCACCGAATGAAAAAATTTGATAGTAAATATTCTGAACGAATGAAAAAATTAAAAACTAATTATTCCCAAGTGGGACCAGTCTTTTCCACGTGAAAATAAAAATGAATCCACGTGGCATGTTGGGATGACTTGTAAGTTATCTCTGTGCTTTCCCTTTCATGAATCCACGTTTTGGTGCTTTTCTCCTTTACCAAATTATGCCGCCGTTACTTTTTTTCTTCCCCTTCACACCATTCCCTCAAATATAACGCCACAGGGAAATAAGTGTGAATTCAAATTCAATGAAATTCAATATTAAATAAAATCCTATTTTATTTTATAATTAACTTGAAGATAATATCCCTTAACAATATTTTTATTTTAGATTAAAAATAAAAAAGGTGTTATTATCATTTTGAAATATAAGAAAGAAATGTGATGATTTTTTTATTTATTTTTGTATTTATAAATAAGATATTTTAATTTTTGGAATGTGACTATGTATTTTCTCTTACTTATTCCTATCTCTATTTTAGTATCACATTTAATTTGAGGATGAAAAAATATTCTAAAAAAATTATCCGCGATATGATTGTTTTTAAACCTTTATTGTGGTTCTATTAAGAGATGCAAGCCCTAAGCCCAATTAGAACCCAGAGGCTACATTTGTGATCGCAGTCCAAACTTGCACAGATAACACAAAATATTTTGATTTTAAATATATAAACTAATTTTAAACAAATACAATTTAAATTTTTAGAGTGAAATTAGTTTAATTTCATACGTCAAAACTAATTTGATATTATTTTGAATTTAAAATTGATAAATTTTTAAAAGAATTAACTGAATCTCAATTTTAAACAGGCATAATTACATAAAAAAAAAAAGTATATCCGTTAAAATCCCATAATGAATATTTTTTAGCCCAAAGATGTCAATGCGTAAAAAAAGAACCTAGGCCCATTTCAGGGCCCAAGTCACGTGTACATCAATTTGTTTTCTTCTCTTCTTCTTTTTCACCCATTCGGTTAATGTATATATTCTCATGTTATGTTATACTATGCAAACGGTCCTATTTCGCTTACGAATTGAGACAAAGATAATTTATACACATTTCATATCTTAAATCGCTGTATTTCTTAAAGACAAAATAAATAAAATTCTAAACTAAATAATATTTAAAATATGATAATTAATCCTAACAGTAAGAAATGGAGTCCGTAAGATTATCGACACCATTAATTAATCTTTGTACGTGACATTTTAAAAAATAAAGAGTCGAATTACATGACATATAGAAAGACTACACAGTGCGTGATAATTTGATTGGTTTTTTTTGTACTGATAAAATCAATAATTGTGAAGTAGCTGGCATTGTAACTGTTGTGATTGTGAACAGGAATAATAAGGTAAACAAACTCTTAAAACTATAATGTCTCAGTCACAATGAAAGGCTTGCATGCAACATAGAGTTTTTAGAGATTTGAAATTGGAGAGAGGGATGAATCAAACAAATGCAGGAAGAAGATGGGCCATTCTGTCTGAAGGGGACATCATGGAATGGTCTTAAAATCTGTTAACGTGATGAACAAATGGACAACTAAGGGATAGACATGCACATGCCCTTGTTGTCTTCTTGTCATCAAGTGTCCTGTTTTATGTGTCTGTGATGCTCCCCATAACATGCAAATAAAGACATTGCAGTGTGATTACGTGGATCATGAGTTCCACCATTCAAGTGGGATATTTTGTCGGTCACGAACACCACCTTTCTTTGTGCGTAATGTACGGAAGGGTTTCTGCACAAGCATTATGGAGTAGACAAAAAGATAAAATAATAGAAATTACGTGGTTTGGTTAATCTGATTACGTACAATTAATAGGTTTTGCTATTCTTATTTATAGATAATACTGCTCTAATTTTGTTGGATATAATTCATAGTCCACTCTATAATTATAAGATAATTTTCTCCTTCTTGATGTTTTTTCTTACCATTTGCTAAGTGAGGTGTCGGTTTCAACCTAGGACTTTATCCTAATATATGCTAAAAAACAAGATGAATGATTCAACATCCATTAGTTGCTCAGTAATTCAGATGGAGAAGAAAACGACTACGATTTCAAAATCAAGTAGGTAGATGAATAAGACTTTTCAATAGAGATGAGTCTCAATGGTAAACAATTGGAAGAATGCAGCAATATCATTATGCTGATCATTAATGGTACAAGGGACTGATCTGAAATGTTAATCAATAAATTGAATGGATATATGCGTTCTGCACTAGACAACTAATTGTGCATGCATTTATTTTGGATACTTGAAAAGTAACCAGTCTAAACTTGTTCTCAATTGTTAACCTTAATTGCAACATCAGTGGATTAACACATGTATACTTGTTATTACCTGGATCCATTATTTAAGATTAATTAATGCTTGGCAAATCAAACTTATCACCCAACTTTGACAAGACAAGACATCACTTTATGAATCCAATCAGTTTATCTTTCTCATCTGATGCCTATGCCTATTGAATACTACTGTTTTATGCTGAAGTAGTATTGACAAGTCGCAACAAAAGTTGGAATCCTTTATTGTTGTCATCAAGTGCCAAGAAAATTCTGTCAACCCTAATAAACAGAAGCAAAGGTTACTTAGTTAGCGGCATGTGCATATCCACGAATCATGAAATAACCTGAATATTATTATAAAATTATCTTCCAATGTCCTCGTCTCAGTTGCAAGTTTTTGGAAACAGTTTCACGATGACACTGAACAAGAAAAAGATGATCAACACAACTGGTTAGTATAATCTATTATATTAATTCACCTTCATTTTATTAAATTATGATAATTGCATTATTGTTAATTGTTATTTAGTCTATTAGACATGAAGTTTGAGATATTGGACATGAAATTTGAGACATTCCATGGAGTTGCTTGGGATGTTTAAAAAAATAAGCAAATCAAAGCAAGAAGAGATAATAAATTTTAATTAAAGTAAATAAGAAAAAAAATGAATTTTTTAAAATTTATGAAGAAAATTTATAATGTAGTAAAATCAGCAGTGTCTTACTTAAAATTGATGTGATATTATAAATTTATATTTTATATTTATTAGGATAATAGATAATTCATGTGAGTTGCTCTGATTGAAAATGCTCTCACAAGCTGAAATCACATGTGAAGGTTACGATGGTAATGCAAAATAGAGTATTACGATTTCTTACGACAATCATTTAAGATCTGTCGTTAAAGGCGATGCGGTGGTATTTTTAAAATTATAATCAATTACAAGATCATAGTTATAAAACATCCGTAGTCGAATCTTAGAAATGATAGTTATTCCATAATGAATTTTTAATAATCGTCATTCTATATAATATATAAGATAATATTTAAGAATGATCGTATATTTTATATTTTATTTTAGTTTGTCTTTCTCTCTTATTTTTATCGCACACGTCCTCCTATCTCCTTCGCTCAATTATATCATGTCTTTCTCAACTACTTTGTTCCTCGAATTATCTTCTTTTTGTCTTACCCCACTTTTCTTCGTCTCTCTCCCGTGGTAAAGTCTTTCTCCCGTGATGATAGTCCCTGTCCCGTAGTGGCAGTTCGTCTCCCGTGGTGGTAGTGTCGCACTATCTTTGATGGTGGTTGATGGAGTGTGGTGGTCCATGTGTGTGTTCACGTAGTGGTCTGTGATGAGTATGTGGTGTTGTGAAGTTGGTTGTAGAACCCGTTTTTTCCCTCCTATGTTGGTGTTGTACATGTGGAACTCACTTTCTTTTCATTCTTTTTCTCTTATAAGAACTCATTCTTCTTCTCGACTAAGTAATTATTCTAACTTCCTTAATATGATTAAGATTGTATGAATTGATTATTTGCATTATAGGATGGTTGATATTGATATTTGACTTTTTTAAACAAATTTATGTTAAGTTCAAGGTTATCTGATACTCAAAAAATCGCATTATTAATTGAATTATATAATTGTGCATGCATTACAAAATTTATAAATAGACAAAATTGTTGGTGATTTTAACCCACTAGTCTATTTTGACCTACCTCGCCTAGTCTGACAATTTGGTGGGCCAAGGACGAGACGGGGTAAACTCACTCATCTGGTCTATTTATATATTAAAATAAAAGTAAAAAAGATTATATAATTAAAAATATTATATTTTTGTCTTATATGATTAAAATATATATTTATATTATAATATTATAATTTAAATTATAAAAATTAATTAATTAAATTCAAATAATTGATTATAATTAAATTTGACATATGAATATAATAATTTTTTTAATTTATCTAATAAAAATATTAATTAATAAATAAAAACTTCAAAATTATTTATATAATTAAAGACATTTAAAAAAAATACATATACAAAATTTTATATAAAAAATAATTATTGATAAGTCGACTAGTTAGCTTGCCTTTTGACACGGCAAACTAGGGTTTATAATTCATCTTGACTATGATGACCTATTTTACATGCTAGAGGCGATGCTCGAGCTAAAATGAAGCGGATTGACCCGTTTTGTCATCCCTAACTAATGAATGTGAGAAAGGAGTGAAAGAAGTTCTACTGGTGGATGATTTAAGTGTCTATGTATTAATTACTTTAATGGAAGATTATTAAATATTAAAGAAATTATGGAACATATTTTATGTGATGGTTTTCTTAAAAATTATATAACTTAGAACATGACATAATCAATTATTAGATTTGTTGATCGTAAATGAATATGATGATTTAGTTAATTCAACAATGGATAATAGATTGGAAGACATAGATTCGTGATATTGGAGTATAATCTTTTATTCAAGCACATCTGTATGAAGATATGTATAGCGATGCAACAACTCCACTTTATCTTGGTTCAACTAATTTCATACTATTGTTAAAAGTGTTAAGATTAATAAATTTGAAGATGAACACATGAATAGATTAAAGTTTCACTACTCAATTGTTGAAACATATGCTTTTAGAAGGAAATGCACTATCTAATCATAATTATGGGAAAAAAATACTTTATACAATGAATAGAGTATAAAAAGATACATGTATCTATTAATTATTATATTTTATATAAAAATGAGTTTGTATAAATAGAATATAAAAAGATACATGTATTTATTAATTATTATATTTTATATAAAAATGAATTTGAAAAATAAAAAAAAATGATGTAGAAGTTATAAATAATCTTATAAAAAAATAATAATAATGATGACATCATTAGTGAGATACCGTACATTTATATATTTCAACTAGCATATGTTGATTAAAATTACATCAAAATATTCAACTAATGTTCTCCCATCAAGTGAAAAAATATATAAGCTTTCACTACTAGAAAATATACTTTCAACGTCTCTGTTTAACGTCGGTTACATCTTAGCCGACGTTGAACATGATTTCAACGTCGGTTGGTCAAAAACCGACGTCGAAAGTCGAATTTTGACACATTCTACGTCGTTTTATCATGCCCGACGTGGAAAGTAGGCTTTCAACGTCGGTTATACCCTAACCCGACGTTGAAAACCCTTCTGAACTCATTATGACCGATCAGAATACAAATATGACCGATCAGAATCAAATGTGAACGATCAGATTTTAATTATGAGCGATCAGAAGTTTTTCAATCGATTAAAAACACGTTTCAATCGATTGAAATCTCTTAAAGTGTCAGGATTCTACGTCAAGTAGGATTTCAACGTCGGTTATTCCCTAACCCGACGTTGAAAACCCTTCTCAACTCATTATGACCGATCAGAGTACAAATATGACCGATCAGAATCAAATGTGAACGATCAGATTTTAATTATGAGCGATTAGAAGTTTTTCAATCGATTAAAAACACGTTTCAATCGATTAAAATCTCTTAAAGTGTCAGGATTCTATGTCAAGTAGGCTTTCAACGTCGGTTATTCCCTAACCCGACGTTGAAAACCCTTCTCAACTCATTATGACCGATCAGATTACAAATATGACCGATCAGAATCAGATATGATCGATCAGATTTTAGTTATGAGCGATCAGATCAGAAGTTTTTCAATCGATTAAAACACGTTTCAATCGATTAAAATCTCTTACAGGGTCAGGATGATCGATCAGAATCCAGTTATGACCGATCAGAACTATTTTAATCGATTAAATCTCGTTTCAATCGATTGAAATATATGACTGGAGATAAAACGAGTTTCAACGTCGGGTGTGGGTATAACCGACGTTGAAACCCCGTTTTCCCATTATAGGCTACCATTTTTGTATCTCCCCTTACTCTCCAACATCGCGCCCACTCCCTTACTCTCCAAGCATCGCGACCACCACCTACCACCGTGATTTGGACTCTCCGGACGCCCTCCCTCACGTCGCCACCGCGCACCGCGTGACACCCCCGCCGCAGCACCTCCACCCCACTGCAGCTTCCACCCCACCGCGACGCTAGTCGTCCACCGCGACGCTAGTCGCCACCCTCCACCGCGACGCTAGTCGCCCACCGCGACGCTAGCAACCTCCACCCACATTGCATTGCATCCTAACGCCACCACCCCATTGCATTGCATTGCAGCCTCCAACCATATTGCATTGTCCGTTCACCACAGCCTCGACCCTAACGCTGCATTGCATCCTCCACCTCCACCCCGAGTGCAGCGCTGCTCATTTCTCCGTGGTGCGAACCTTCATCGTCGCCTTAAACCACGGGTATGTTGTTGCAGTTATATTTGTTGGGCAAAGTCATACAATTTTACTTACTACATTTCATAGGTAGAGATTGTTAGTCATTTGCCGTTAACTCGTTGATTCAATTCTTAGTCATATTATAGTTTTTTTCAATGTATTGATGATGTGTACAATTATACTTGAACTCGCTTGAATATGCCCGTGGGGCTTTTTATTGTCAGGTTTCACTGTGTCATTTAAAATTGTTGCCAAAAAACAAAGGAAACTCTCTTGAATTTTTGTTAGAAATTAATC